CTGCTGCTGCACACTCTGCTTGGGGGTTTGTCCCCAATAACTAACATGCACATATATATCTTTTCCAAATTTCTCATTTTTTCTCCCTTCACTTTTATTCAATTATATTTCTTTCTATCCAGGTTTTATTAATTCTCAATCAAATATAAATATTTATACAGCATAGTTCCAAATTATCACATTTCCATTTAAACACCTATATATCTTTTCCGAATTTCTCATTATTTCTTCCTTCACTTTTATTCAATTATATTTCTTTCTGTCAAGGTTTTATTAATTCTCAATCAAACATAAACACACAAAATACAAAACATAAAACAAGGCATAAAAACATAAAACCTCCTTAATTATCATTTGTACATATCTTTTCCAAATTTCTCATTATTTCTCCCTTTAGTTTTATTCCTCCAAGGTTTTATTAATCTTCAACCGGATAAGATTTGTGCAGGAGGAAGAATCAGAAGGAGAAGTTTTCTTGGCTGAACTGGGACATTAAGATACTTTTAAACACCCTGGAAACCTGACTTTTGGATTGATACATTTGTTTCCAAAAGAAGTTGTTAAAACGGTGAAAGTGCTGAAAGGAAAGTTCACTCCCCTTCCTTACGGAGAAAGCAAATGAGCTCTGAAAAACCTGCTTCTTTAAGGTAAAAATAAGCTCTTTGTTATAAGTGGGAAGGAGAGGACTAAAAAAATCTTTAAAAATTTGTTGGAGGAGACACTTTGAAGATTATAACTAACTGTAATACAGCTTTAAAATATATTTTAGAGAAGGCCCTTCTTATGGTCCCACCAGATGTACCTCTTTAGGAGACTGGGTTAGTGAATGCCTGCTGAGTGTCTAACCTAGTAGGACGTATGGCAGTTTTGTATGGAGGATTCCTTTCCTATTGAACAGCATGGCCCAGAGACAAGGTAGGCCAACTCTCTTATAGCCTTCCAGAATTTTTGGAGACCTGGTGATTCCAGATAGCATTAGGAAATCAACCAAATTGCTCTGAGAAAATGTGCACCGTGCATGTTATATTTGGACATATTTATTGTTTGCAGTATTTTCCTTACTTGGGAATTAGAAAAAAGAGAAAAAAGTTTCTTATAGTATCAGTAGATTATCTCAGTCCTTTAATTAATCCTTACTCCTAGGTCATATAGAAAAATATTGCTTCCTTTTCTAATGCTTAGAATATATACAAATTTGATGGTGATTGTACACAGCTTTGAGTCAGGTAAGAAAGAAATGAACTTAAGATAAATGAATAAATAAATGGACAAAGCTGCCTTGGGGATTGAGGGGTGGACCACCCTTTGATGGAGGCATTTTTAATAGAAGCCCATCCTTAGGCATGTGCACGAGAAAACAGATGGCATCGGCATTTACAAGAGCTTAGAACATATCTCTGCTCAAGAATTTTCACAAGATGAAAAAAACCTAACCCTTTCCCTTCTCTCTCTCCTTCGCAGCTTCAAAATCTTCTTTGGGAAAATTTGATTAATGAGAAAAGATAATGTGAAATTGTAGCAGGACAGACAAAAGTATAAATATAATGATTTGAATTGAGATAATTAAAACAAAGTTGAGAAAATTAAAAGAGGGGAAAAACTATGTAGAAAATATAAAATGGTAATAAGATATGGAATAGAATATAAAAATGAGTATGAAATTGAGTTTTGTGTCTATATGAAGAAGTGATAACCTGGGACCATGCTATTTTCAAAAAAGATGTTTTATTTGTACTTTGTTTTTGTGAAAACCCAAATAATATTTTCAAACAAAAAAAAAAAAAAGAACTTTCACAAGATGTATTCCTCAGCATATGTAAGTCAGAACTAAGGGTCACCTTGTGATGAGATATTTGGGCAGCTAATATAAATAAATAAATAAATGCATACATACTTAATTAAATGCATAAATAAATAAATAAATTTTATTGGCTGCCATCTTAAAACAAAGTAATTCTGGGTGGTTTACAATATTAAAAAGTTAAAATATTATAAAACCTATACAAAGTATGAGCTAGGAAATATAAAAGGATAAATATTCAAGAACCGTGGATGTGCAGTGGTTAGAATGCAGTACTGAAGGATACTTCTGCTGTTTGCAATTTGGCTGTTCGACTTCCACCAGGTTTTAGGTCAACACAGCCTTCCATCCTTCCAAGGTGGGTAAAATGAGAACCCTGATTTTTTTTTGGGGGGGGGGGGGTGATAGGCCGACTCTGAAACCCACTTAGAGAGGGCTGTAAAAGCACTATATAAGTCTAAGCACTACTGCTATTGTTTTTAATGCTAACTAAAAGGCTGGGAGTGAGGGAGTAGGATGAGCAATGGGAGGAAATGGGACCTATTATTAGTCTGTCAACCACCTTAATGTAACCCCCCCTCCCCATTGGAGACCCAAGATAAGTAGTAGAGCCAGGTCTTTAAGCTCTTATAAAAAAATCAAGGGGATTGGAGATGACCTCATTCTTTGGGAGACACAATGTTCCAAAGAGCACAATCAACAGCATGGAAGGAACTTCTCCTAGGCTTCACCAGACAGAGTGCCCTGGCTGATGGGGCCCACAGCATGTCTCCTCTGTCAGTGCAGGTGAAGTGGGAAAATCCCATTGGGGTGAGACTGTCCCACTATAAATAAAATATGCCAGGGGGTTGGAGATGAGCTCATTTTCGTGAGGTCAAGATGTTTCAAAGAGCATGAGCAAAGGCAGGGAAGAATGTTCTCCTGGACTTTATCCACCATAAATAAATACATTTGCTTGCAAAAGAGCTACAAAAGACAAAAAAACATAGGAATGAATATGTGCTGTACCAAGCAAAGTTGTGAAGACAACTGGTCTCTGTACAATGCTTATATTTACAAAAAAACAAGTTTGTTTTATTCTACTAAATTGTAAGTGACTCATCTTTGCTTTTGTTCTACGTCCCAGAGGTTAAGCCCCCAAACCTCTACTAAATATCTATCTATCTATCTATCTATCTATCTATCTATCTATCTATCTATCTATCTATCTATCTATCTATCTATCATTTATATCAATGTAGTCATCAGAAGCTGAAGTTAACTCAAGTAAACACTATCTTTCAATCTTGAACTTAAACTAGAAGGGCTTCATCAAATATTTCTCTGTGGAGATACACACATCTCCAAAGACAGATTAAAACATGTTAGGCCTCAAAAGCTAGACTTTTCCAATGAAACCAAGCAAGCAAGCCACACTTCTTCCAAAATGAGGAGGAGGAGGAGGAGGAGAAGGAGGAGGAGGAAGAGGAGGAGGAGGAGGAGGAGGAGGAGGAGGAGGAGGAAGAAGAGGAGGAGGAGGAGGAGGAGGAGGAGGAGGAGGAGGAGGAGGAGGAAGAAGAAGAAGAAGAAGAAGAAGAAGAAGAAGAAGAAGAAGAAGAAGAAGAAGAAGAAGAAGAAGAAGAAGAAGAAGTTGTTGTTGTTGTTGAAGTTGCTGTTCCACGTTGTTACTACAGATGATGTATCAAGAAGAAGAAATAATAGAAGCTGTTAAGAAGAAGAGGAAGGGGCAATTTGCATCATGTTGATAGAATTCCCATCTTTTAAAACTAAAATTAATAATAATTTATGAGTTGAAGCCAAAATTAATAATAATTTATGAGGTGGACTAAGGTCATAGTAAGAAGGAAAAAAATGATGAATCATTGCTGTAGTTGCATCTGAAATCAGGCAGAACTATGAGAGGAAATTGTTGTTTTCTTTCCTTCCTTCCTTCCTTCCTTCCTTCCTTCCTTCCTTCCTTCCTTCCTTCCTTCCTTCCTTCCTCCCTCCCTCCCTTCCTCCCTCCCTCCCTTCCTTCCATGGGAAACAAATATGAGTTCAAAAAAGAAACACTCCAATGCATTATCTGAATTTGGTTAGTTTTCATCAGCCTTTATTCAAGACACAGCCTAAATATTTGCTTGAGAATGTTTAAGGAATCTTCATTTGAAGTTACTTGTGGACAGTGCTCTCTTTTTATATAGATTAGGATATGCAAATTGAAAGGCAGCCCAACCTTTAAATGTCTCCCTCCTTCTTACTCAAAGACCCAGAGATTACCAGAACTTTTGAGTTCACCTAACCTATATTTCTCCTACAAACCATTCAATAAAAATGACTATATGGATGAATGTCATCTTGACACTCTTCATTTTTAAAGGTATTTTTCTTTGGATTCCATAATACTGTGAGTTGGACTTAGATTTCTCCACATGCTCTTCAGAAAACTACTTGTGTCTTTCTTTTCAGATGTTCTGGCTGATGTTTCTATAACTGAATCAGGAGGAGGAGTGAAAAGACCTGGAGATTCTCTTCGACTTACTTGCACATCCTCTGGGTTCAGTATTGATAGCTACTGGATGCACTGGGTCCGTCAAGCAGATGGAAAAGGTTTGGAGTGGATCTCACAAATGAATAAAGGCACCACATATTACGACAGCTCTTTTAAAGGGTGATTCACAATCTCGAAAGATAGTTCCAGGAACCTAGTTTACCTAGACATGAATGGACTGAAAAGTGAAGACACAGCCAAGTATTACTGTACAAGGGAACACACAGTGGAGAAAAATGAATCTGAGTTTATTCTAAAACCTAGAGTTTATGTGGCAAAAGGAAAGTTTCATTTGGATTCACTCCAATGAAAATAGAACCACAACAAGACAGCTTTAAATATATCATGACCAATTCATTTGGCATCTCTCACACCTGTTTATTTATTTACATTTTTTCAGATTAACGAGGTTGGAAGGTACCTGGTAGGTCATCTAGTTCAACCCCCCAAACAGGAGACCCTACACAATTTTTGACAGATGACAGTCCAATCTCTTCTTGAAGGCTTTCAGTTGTAAAGCTCCCACAATTTCTGAAGGCAATGGTTGATTGCTCTCACTGTCTGAAAATTTCTCCTTATTTCTAGATTGAATCTCTCTTTATTCAGTTTCCATTCATTTATTCCTTGTCTGGCCTTCAGGTGCTTTGGAGAATAGTTTGAACCCTTAAAATACAGGCTGAATAGTCAAGATCTTGTTGATGATCCAAACTCTGCCAAGGATCTTGGAATAGTCATCTCTAACGATCTAAGTGCTAGAGCCCACTGCAACAACAAAGCCAAAAAGGTGTTAAGAGTTGTTAACCTAATCTTACGTAGCTTTTTCTTTGGTAATATTACACTAATAACTAGAGCATACAAAACATTTGCTAGACCAATACTCGAATACAGCTCATCAGTCTGGAACCCACATTACATATCTGATATTAACACAGTTGAGCAAGTCCAGAAATATTTCACAAGAAGAGTTCTCCACTCCTCTACTCATTGCAGAATACCTTATGCCACCAGACTCGAAATTCTAGATCTAGAAAAACTAGAAGTACGCTGCCTTCAGTCTGATCTAAGTATGGTATATAAAATCATACATTGCAATGTCCTACCTGTCAATGAATACTTCAGCTTCAACCATAACAACACAAGAGAAAACAATAGTTACAAACTCAAGGTTAATTGCACCAAACTTGATTGCAGGAAATACGACTTCAGCAACAGAGTGGTCAATGTCTGGAATACTCTACCTGACTCTGTGGTTTCTTCCCCAAACTCCCCAAACTTTAACCTTAGACTGTCTACTATTGACCTCACCCCTTTCCTAAGAGGTCTGTAGGGGCCATGCATAAGTGCACCAATGTGCCTTCCATTCCTGTCCTATTGTTTCTTTTCTTTTTTCTTTTTCTTATATGTATCCATGTATTCATAACTAGGTTTTTACTTATGCCTATTATCTTGTAAGCAATTGACAAAAATAAATAAAATAAAAATGTCTTCCCTGGTTCTTCTCTTTACTAGACTAGCCATGCCCATGCAACTCTTCTTCGTGTCTTTTAGTTTTCAGTCCCCCAATGGTTGCTCTTCTCTGCATTCTTTCCAGAATGTCAACATCTTTTTTATAGTGTGGTGACCAAAACTAGATGCAGTACTCTAGATGTGGCTTTATAGAGTGGTATTAGTACCTTACTTGATCTTGATTGTATCCCTCTGTTATTGCAATTTAGGATTGCATTGGGTTTATTTTTATTTTTTTTGTTTTTTGTTTGGCTGTCACTGCACACTGCTGGCACATATTTAGATGGTTGTCCACTAAGATTCCAAGATCCCTCTTACAGTTTTTTAAATTTTGGTGGGTTTGGGAAAGAAACCACAGAGTCAGGTAGTGCATTCCAGGCATTGACAACTCTATTGCTGAAGTCATACTTAACAGTTACTGCTGTTAAGCCAGGTTCCTCTCAGTGTGTATACTTTTGGTTTTTCTTGCCTAAGTGTAAGACTTCACTTTTATCTACATTTAATTTCATTTTGTTAGATAGTGCCCAGTGTTCAAGACTGTCAATATCCATCTGGATCTTGAGCCTATCATCTAGGGCAGGGGTGTCAAACTCAAGGCCCAGGGGGCAGATCCAGCCCACAGGGTGCTTAGATCTGGCCCATTGAATTGCCCTAGAAACAGTGAAGTGCCAGCCTGTGGTGCTTCTGCCAATGAAAATGGTGCTTGTGAGAGCCATGCACAGCTCTCCTGAGCTCCGTTTTTGATGGCAGAGGGTTGCAGGAGACAGTTGCAGCCGAAAACAGAGCTCAGGAGCCCATCACAGGCACCTCCGACATGAGTGATGTCAAGTTCACAATGCCTACCTGAACTATGCCCCCCCTGAGATAAAGCACAACCATGATGCGGCCCTCAATTAAATCTAGTTTGACACCCCTGTTCTAGGGTGTTAGCTATTCTTGCCAGCTTATTTGGTATGTTCCTCTTCTGCAAATTTGGTATGTTCCTTTTCTATTCCCTCATCTGAGTCATTTATGAAGATATTGAAGAGTACTGGGCCTAATACGGAAGCTTATAGTACCCCACTGCTTCAGTGGTGGGATGCTACAGATTCAGCCCGGTTCTATAGAACCGGTAGCTCTGAAGAGCAGCAGATACCGAACCGGTTTGGTGCAATGACCTTTTGCTCATTTGTTTGGTCCAACTGCCTACCTGGGCTCTTGGCTGTCCTTTATTTCCTATTTTTTCAACCTCAGCTGGTTTGTGCAGCACAGCTTGTCAGCTGTCTGGGTGGCACAGCTGATTTTTTTTTTTTTGAAAACTTATACATGTATGCATAGCATCTCATCACACTCATTGCACTCTCACCAAACCAGTAGTAACACCAGTTGAATCCCACCCCTGCACTGCTTACTTCCCTCCATGTAGATGAGATGAATGTTAGAAGGAGATGTTAGAAGGAGATGAATATAGTGAGCAAGGAGACGAACATTTTCTCTCTCAGCCCAACTCTCCCAACACATAACACTTATGACAGCTCAGAAATTTAGATTTGCAGACAAATTTTCATAAAGCAACTAACTCTTTGTACAATGCTGATATTAACAAATAACCAAGGTTATTTTATTCTACTAGATTCTAAATATCTGAACTTTGTTCTTGTTCTAGGTCACTGAGTTGAAGTCACATAATTTATTTTATAAATTCCCTTCACTAAATGATAATTCTCAAGAAAAGAGAAGTTATGTTAATAGATTGTGGAGAACATTACACCTTTATGGACAGAGAAAATGCAATGAACAGGAAGAATTCAAGTTGATAGATGCATTCGTGACCATAACTTCAACTGGTCCAAAGTCACCTAGTTGGTTTTTCATGCCTAAGACTAGAGTAGAATTTACAGGCCACTACATTAATTATTACACCAAACTGGGTCTCTAAGTAATGCTAAGACTGTAATCCAGTGTGGATGATGATGATGATGATGATGATGATGGCAATTGTGGTGATGGTGATGATGAACAGGCAGAGTTCAAGTTAATAGATATGGTGGGCACCATATCTCCAATTGGCCCAAAGTCACCCAACTGGTTTTTCATGTCCAATACTGGAATGGACCTCAAAGTTTCATATTCACAGTAACTACTGTGTCAAATTGGATTTCTAAGCAATGCTATGACTATAGTTTAGAGAGGAGGAGGAGGAAGAGGAGGAGGAGGGGGATGAAGAATCTATTTCTTCAACATCTTCATTCTCTAACATAGTGACTAAATTAGTAGACCAGCAAAATACTGTGGACATAATATATTTAACTTTCAGCAAGGCATTTGACAAAGTAGACCACAACCTACTTCTTAGTAAGCTAGAAAAAAATGGAATAGATAGCACCACCCCTAGCACCTCAACTGGCTGACAAACCGTACTCAATGAGTAGTCCTTAATGGATCTAAAACTACATGGAAGGAAGTAAGCACACAAGGTGTGCCACAAGGTTCTGTTTTAGGCCCAGTACTCTTCAATATCTTCATTAATGACTTAGATGAGGGAATGAAAGGGGAACTTACCAAATTTGTAGATGATATTAAGCTGACAGGAATAGCTAGCACCCAAGAAGATAGGCTAGATAGATTCAGATGGATCTTGACAGACTAGAACACTGGGCCATATCTAATAAAATGAAATTCAATGTAGAGAAAAGTAAAGTCCTAATCTTAGGCAAGAAAAACCAAAAGTACAGGTATAGACTGTGTGAAACCAGGCTCAATAGCAGTAACTGTGAGAGGGATCTTGGAGTCTTAGTGGACAACTAGCTAAATATGAGCCAACAGTGTACAGCAGCAGCCAAAAAAGCTAATGCAATCCTAATTTACATTAACAGAGGAATACAATGAAGATTGAGTGAGGAACCAATACCACTCTATAAAGCCTTAATCAGACCACACTACATCCAGTTTTGGTCGCCACATTATAAAAACGATGTTGAGACTTTAGAAAAAGTACAGAGAAGAGCAAGGATGATTAGGGGATTGGAGACTAAAACATATGAAGAACAGTTACAGAAACTGGGCATGGCTAGTCTAGTGAAGAGAAGGACCAAGGGAGACATGGTAGCCATATTACAATATTTGAGGGGCTGCCACAGAGGAGAGGGGGTCAAGTTATTCTCCAAAGCACCTGAAGGCCAGTTAAGTAATAATGGATGGAAACTGAACAAGGAGAGATTCAACCTGGAAATAAAGAGAAATTTTCTGACAGTGAGAGCAATCAACCAATGGAACAGCTTGCCCTCGCAAGTTGTGGGAGCGCTATCACTTGAGACTTTCAAGACACCCCTGTTGTAGGGTGTTAGCTATTTCTGCTAGCTTAGTATCATTTGCAAATTTGGTGTGTTCCTCTTCTAATCAACCAATGGAACAGCTTGCCTTCAGACCTTGTGAGTGCTTTCATCACTGGTGGCTTTCAAGAAGAAATTAGACTGCCATCTGTCAAAAATTGTGTAGAAGTTAGCTTCACCTTTCTAAGTGCCAATATGATGTACTCAATAAAGTGGTTCTTGAACCTGAACAATTTGTCAGAGTCATGATTTCTCGGAGTTCATTACTCAGAACAATGACAGCAAGCTAGTTAACTAGTTCCTGCACTGTGGGATAGTTAAAATAATAGGATTTCCCCACTCCCCCTGTGTCTTTTAGGTCATATGGGCCAATCAAGTCACCCACAGTTTCCAGCTCAGCTCCGACAGGTGTCCGTTGACATGGCCTTGGTCCACATGCCAGCTGGTAAATGTTTTAACTCAGCTGAGGCACACAATATTACAGTCAAGAAGAACACTAGAACCAGTGTCCTCCAGATCATTTCTAATGTATTCACATTCTTGTGACAGTTGAAGATTTCATTCAAAGTTTGAGCTTGATTTTTCAATAGAAGAGATCCATTTGAATTTAGATTGGTTGAGTTTACCAGGCTCAGGACCAATATTTGAAACTGAAGAACTCTAACATGAAGAAATGGAGGAGCAGGAGAAGGACAAGCAGAAGGAGCAGGAGCAGGGGGAGCAGGAGACGAACAGGAAGATGAGGAAAGGGGAAGGGGAAGAAGAAGAAAGAGGAGGAGAGTGGGAGAGGAGGAGGAAGAGGAGGAGAGAGGAGGAGGAGGAGGAGGAAGGGGGATAAACAATATCTATTTTGAACAATATGATATAATATTTTTGCATAAGAAATCAGAATATAGAAGGAGCAGTAATCCTCTTGCTTTGATGTAGCTACATTTGCAACACAAGCCTGAGTATACACCAGGCTGACTAGCTGATAAATGTATAGCATACTTTGTTTCATGTAAATTATTTCCTGGTATACCATGTGTTAAATAGATATTTTGGTGAATGAAGACAGTATTGGATGTACTTGACTGTATTGAATTGCTTTTCACCTTTTGTATGACCCTTTTCAAAAACATGGTTCTGAAACTGTTGATAAGTTTCCTCTTTGTGTTCCCAGCAGGTAAGAACAGCTATAGTTTGTTTTTAGGTAGAGGTGCATTTTTTGTGTATTTCCCCCCCACCCACACTTTTATTTTTATTTATTTATGTATTTTTTTTAAATTAATGTAGGCATTACCTCAGAAATTACAATTACTCAGTCTGCTGCTCAAGTGAAAAGACCAGGAGAAAGTATGTGGTTCACCTGTGCAGTTTCTGAATTTTCTCTCACAAGCTGTGGAAAAAGCTGGATCCGTCAGGTTTCTGGAAAGGAACTGGAATGGATTGCAGACATCTGGCATAATGGAGGCACTGCTTATAGCACTATATTTCAAAGTCGGGCCATCATCACAAAAGACAATTCTAAGAGCCAAGTATACTTGCAGCTCAATACTTTAAAGGCTGAAGACACAGCTGTATATTATTGCATAAGACACAGTGAGAGGAATCTTCTTACAAATGGATCAAAAAACCCTACTTTTCAAATTTAAGCACAGTCATTCTCATTTGTGTGTTATTATTTCATTTTTGTGTCTTATTATTTCAGGAAAGGAACCTGTGGTTCTTTCTTGAACCACAAAACTAAAACTTGCCATAATATTCTCACCCCAAGATTTCTTTTAAAATGTAACTGTCAAGTTGAGCCAAGAAAAGTCACTCAGAACAAAACTGAACTGCCTTATTCCATCTTTCTTTCTTGTCTCTTCCAGAAAGAGCAATTTTTCTCAAGATGGATCTTGACAGACTGGAACACTGGGCCCTATCTAACAAAATGAAATTCAATGTAGAGAAGAGTAAAGTCTTACAGTTAGGCAAGAAAAACCCAAAGTACACATATAGAGTGGGTGAAAACAGACTTAATAGTAGTAACTATGAGAGGGATCTTGGAGTCTTAGTGGACAATCAGCTAAATATGAGCCAACTGTGTGCAGCTGCAGCCAAAAAAGCCAATGCAATCCTAAATTGTATTAACAGAGGGATACAATCGAGATCAAGTGAGGTACTAATACCACTCTTTAAAGCCTTATTTAAGACCAGAACTAGAGTTTTGGTCACCACACTATAAAAAAGATGTCGAGACTCTAAAAAAAGTGCAGGAAAGAGCACTCAGGATGATTAAGGGACTTGAGGCTAAAAAATATGATGAATGGTTACAGGAACCGGGAATGGCTAGTCTAGTGAAGAAAAAAGACAAGGGGAGACATGATAGCAATGTTTCAATATTTGAGGGGCTGCTACAGTGAAGAGGGGGTCTAGCTATTTTTCAAAGCATCTGAAGGCCAGACAAGGATTAATGGATGGAAATTGAACAAAGAGAGATTCAACCTGGAAATGAGAAATTTTCTGAAAGTGGGAACAATCAATCAATAGAACAGCTTGCCTTCAGATGTTGTGGGAACTTTATCACTGGTGGCTTTCAAGAAGAGATTGGACTTTCATTTATCAAAATTGCTGTAAGCTCTCCTGCTTGGGTGGATGACCTACAATGTCCCTTCAAACTCTATTAATTGGTTAAATTAGGCAGTTTCTGGAGAGAGGGCTGGAATGATTAGTTCAGCAACAAACAACCAGTATTCTCCAGTCATCCAAGGGAGATTCTCTGCCTACAAAAAACAATTCTCGAGAAGAAGGTAGAGCCTCCTCGCTGACAGACCATAGATCGCATTTCTCTGCGGCTATGGTCCATGCTCTTTCATTGGAGAGCCCTGATCACTATGATTAGGGGCTGAAGCTGCTTTGGAGGGATGGAGGAGTAAGGGGAAGCCACAAGCCAGGTCGAAGGGAGCCGCATCTCTCCCCCTGGGCTTGGTCTTTTTCCCCCCGAAGATGACTGCAGCAGTGGTTTAAAATGGCCACCCTGAAGAGGAGGACTCAGCTGGATTAAGATTTGTGAAGGAGGGAAGAAAGAGGTGGATAACATCTGGACCAGGACAACTGGGCAATACAACTAAACAAAAGTACCCTGGGATTAAGGTAATATGGGATTTTTAAGAAAAGAAAACTGAGCAGCAAAATTACAAAGGGACAGGAAAAATTTTTTTTGACAGCTAAGCGGGGCTTCGAACCAGGAAAGGAAGAAGCTGGAACTAAAGATTTAACTAAATTGGACTAAAATATTTTGGCAATAAACAGGCATAAAATAAAGCTGAACTTAAGATTGTCAAAAAATAATAATAATAAAGTTTACAAATTGGAGGCTGGATTGTGTTGGAATATTGAGGTTCGAAAAACCCTAAATAAAAAAAATAGGGGGAAAAGGTGAAGACTTTTTATAATGGAGAGTGCCACTTTTTGACAAAAACTTGAGCTCAAACAAGGGAAAGCATCCTGTTTCTGAATGAACTTGTGTGGATATAACATTAAAGAAATATCGAAACAAAGTAAGAATCCTAGAAAGTGAAAGCAGAACCAGAATAAAGAAAAAAGCAAGGAAAGACTGACTGTGCAATTGATTGATGTTTTTGGTATAGACCCTGGCTGGAACAATTAAGAACTTTAGAAAATTGAAAGAAGAAAGAAGGAAAGTAAACATGTTTTTTTGTGGTCTTTAACGATCATAAAATACAAGAGTATGTAATGATGATATTTCTTCGGGAATTAAAAATGGAACTTAAAAATATGAGAGAATTACTATAGGAAAGAGGTGAAACACTTTGTTCTGTGTTAGAAAAATGGAAATGGTGATTGAAGAACAAAAAGAAAGAGCTTCAGAGGAGGAGTTGACTCAAGAAGAAGACATTTTAAATAGACAATTAACACAAAGAACGCTGCAAAGAAGTGGAGAAAGAAGGAAGGTTAAAAAGTTGAGACTTAAGAAGGCAATCAAAAGGGGGAATACCTGTGAAATTGGGAAAGACAGAAAGACCCAGCAAAAAGGGGGAAAGGAAGATATTAAGAAAAAGAGGGATATAAACTGGAATGAGAAAAGATATGGGGTGTTGTGTCTTTGGGACTGGTTGGGGTTTCCAACCAGGTCCATTCTTTAAGCAGGAGCACCAGCAGCTCCCATTGGCTGGCTCCGTTTGACAGTCGGCTATATAAAGCCGGCTGTCAAGCCAAACCAGTTGTTGTTCGCTAGCTAGTCTGCCTGTTAGCTGGCAGACGCGACAACCATCGTTCTTTGAATAAAGCCTTGTTGATTGCATGCTCTGGTCTAAGCCTCTCCTTTCCTTCAAACTACAACACTGGCGACGAGGATGGGATCGGAAGGCTAGCCAGAAGCGTTTTGTTCAAAGAACTAGAGCCGCAGCCGTTTCGCTCACCGAGCCTCGGACTCAGACTCCTGTCATCAGGAAGTGAAAGTGCGAGCGTTAGAGCCGCTCGAGTTAGAATCGCCGCAGTTAGTGAAGGCCGGGCGCTGTCAGTGAGAGTCGCGAGAGTTAGAGCACCACGGCTAGTGAAAGTCGGGCGCTGAAGCCGCAGCTGCCCGCGCTCGCAAAAAGGGCGCAAAATTCAAAAGGCTGTCACTAAGCTGCAGTCACTAGAGCAAGTTACGGCGCTGAGAGCCTCAGCCACCACAATCACAAAAGGGCGTGAAATTTGAAGCGTTGTCAGTCACGGCGCTCTAGCCACAGCCGCCAAACGCTTGCAAAAGAGCGCGAAAATACAAGCGCCTTATTGAAGGCTAGAGTCACTGAGCAAGCCTAGGGCGCTGTAGCCACAGCCGCCAACGCTCACGGTTAGCGTTAAACCAGGACCACAAGCACCCAGGGAGACAGACCAGTCTACCAAGAGACTGAGGGGTCCAAAAATGAACGTCAACTCAGCATTCCCACCATTCAAACCCGATGAGGAAAAATGGGATTCGTATAAGAATCGCTTCAACCACTTTATCGATGCCATCGGATTGGCAGATGCTATGGAGCAGAGGAAGAAATCCTACTTCCTCAGCTACTGTGGGGCTGCAGTCTACGACACCGCCACAGCACTCCTGGCCCCATGAGAGATCAGGAACGTCCCATGGCCAGAGCTGATGGAAACGCTTTCCAACCACTACTCGCCAAAACCGTCCCAGATCGCTAGACGTTTCGCCTTTAGAATGAGGAAGCAAGCCGAGGGGGAATCCATCAATCAATACATGCAGCCCTGAGGACAGCAGCTCTACATTGTGAGTTTAAGAACTATTTGGACGATATGCTGCTCGACCAACTCGTCTGTGGGGTAAGAGATCTAAGGCTCCAAAGACGTTTGTTGGCCAGAAAAGATTTAAATCTTCCCCAGGCCGTTGAGGAAGCCTTAGCTGCTGAACTCTCAGCCCAATCAGCAGCTGAGATCCAGGGCACTGCACCCAAGCCCAGCACTTCCACCGTCCACTCTGAAGAAGTGGTGAGCGAAGACGACCCTGCAGAATACTCCGACATTCATCGTCTCAAGCCGATGAGACAGCCGCAGGTAGGAGCGAGGCAAAGAAACAACAGTAGCCCAAAACAAACTCTTTTGTGCCTGACCTGTGGAGGTTCCCATTCCCGGGCATCTTGCAGGTTCAGAAACGCCAGCTGCCACAACTGTCACAAGAAAGGTCACCTCGCAAGAATCTGCCAGGCAGCGCGCACTTCTCCACAAAAATCTTCTTTTTCTCCTGTTTCCCGAAGGCAAGTAGAAAACTGCTATACTTGCTACCAAGCTAACCACACATTTTACACCCCCAATAAAATTATACTTTCTGTCTTATTAGAAGGTAATCCCTGCCGCATGGAGGTAGACACGGGGTCAGCGCTCTCAATCATTTCCTGGGACACACTTATGTTGGGTATAATAATGATACACCAACTAAGTTTGGGTGAATAAAT